GAGAATTCTGACTTTTTGCTCAGTATTCTGAATTTAATCTCAAAATTCTGACAATAAAAAATTCAGAATGCTGACTTTAATCTCATAATTCTAACTTTTTTCTCATAATTCTGACTTTTTGCTGAGAATTCTGACTTTTTGCTCAGTATTCTGACTTTAATCTCAGAATTCTGACAATAAAAAAGTCAGAATTCTGACTTTTTTCCCATGTTAAACTGAAATAAAATTTAAAAATCAGTTAACTTTTTTTTTTCAGTGGCCCTAATCCTCTTCTGTACAAATCTATGTGTTAAGACAAACGTTTTCTGTTGTATAGGTTTTGTTAGGCAACATAAATTAACACATTTTGGTCTCTTTACTGTCTTAATTGTATATTGATTTAGTAATGGCAGCACAATGCCAAGAAAGGAGGGTTAATCGTATTGAAAAATCTTAAAAGCTGTTCACATTTTATTTTTAAGTGGTTTGTGCAGCAGGTATTAAAATAGCTATTATTTTGTAGGCTACCATAAGTCACATCCACGTGACAAGACTTCCAGTCATGTTGCCCTAATAGCCCATTATTTAAACTAATGTGGCATATTTGTTAAAGCTATTATTATTATTTTTATTATTATCATTATTATTATTATTATTGTCATGATGGTTATTATTAATATATTGTAGCCAGTCACAGCAGGGAAGCTCTATACCATCAACATCTATCAGGACAGGAGATGAGGAAGAGTTCAGGGAAGACACAGAGACAGAAAAAGACCAGGATGAGGGAGAGCAGATGGGTGAGGGAGAGCAGATGGGTGAGGGAGAACAGATGGGTGAGGGAGAACAGATGGATGAGGGAGAACAGATGGGTGAGGGAGAACAGATGGGTGAGGGAGAACAGATGGGTGAGGGAGAACAGATGGATGAGGGAGAACAGATGGGTGAGGGAGAACAGATGGGTGAGGGAGAACAGATGGGTGAGGGAGAACAGATGGATGAGGGAGAACAGATGGGTGAGGGAGAACAGATGGGTGAGGGAGAACAGATGGGTGAGGGAGAACAGATGGGTGAGGGAGAGCAGGGAGATGAGGGAAAACAGATGGGTGAGGGAGAGCAGATGGGTGAGGGAGAGCAGATGGGTGAGGGAGAGCAGATGGGTGAGGGAGAGCAGATGGGTGAGGGAGAACAGATGGATGAGGGAGAACAGATGGGTGAGGGAGAACAGATGGGTGAGGGAGAGCAGATGGGTGAGGGAGAGCAGATGGGTGAGGGAGAGCAGATGGGTGAGGGAGAGCAGATGGGTGAGGGAGAACAGATGGATGAGGGAGAACAGATGGGTGAGGGAGAACAGATGGGTGAGGGAGAACAGATGGGTGAGGGAGAACAGATGGGTGAGGGAGAACAGATGGATGAGGGAGAACAGATGGATGAGGGAGAACAGATGGGTGAGGGAGAACAGATGGATGAGGGAGAACAGATGGATGAGGGAGAACAGATGGGTGAGGGAGAACAGATGGGTGAGGGAGAACAGATGGGTGAGGGAGAACAGATGGGTGAGGGAGAACAGATGGGTGAGGGAGAACAGATGGGTGAGGGAGAACAGATGGATGAGGGAGAACAGATGGGTGAGGGAGAACAGATGGATGAGGGAGAACAGATGGGTGAGGGAGAACAGATGGGTGAGGGAGAACAGATGGGTGAGGGAGAACAGATGGGTGAGGGAGAACAGATGGGTGAGGGAGAACAGATGGGTGAGGGAGAACAGATGGATGAGGGAGAACAGATGGATGAGGGAGAACAGATGGGTGAGGGAGAACAGATGGGTGAGGGAGAACAGATGGGTGAGGGAGAACAGATGGGTGAGGGAGAACAGATGGGTGAGGGAGAACAGATGGGTGAGGGAGAACAGATGGATGAGGGAGAACAGATGGGTGAGGGAGAACAGATGGGTGAGGGAGAACAGATGGGTGAGGGAGAACAGATGGGTGAGGGAGAACAGATGGGTGAGGGAGAACAGGGAGATGAGCCAGATGAAAGAAGTACGCTTTAGTCTGTTCTGTTGGTGGTGTGACTTTTTTCCATTGAAAACTCACGTTTAGAGAATGTTACAAATAAAAGTCAAATTTCATTCAACATGCGTGTATTTTTTTTTTTATAATTAAGTGTTACACGTGCTCTAAAAAGTGCCCTCCCCCCCCTCCTGAGCACCTGCCCCCCAAAATGTCTGTGCACGCCTCTGGTATTCACAGATCTTACTGCCTCATTCATTGCGCAACCCTGTGGTAGCGCAGATGCACGATGGTCCAGTGGGCGGGCACTTTGATCCGGCTGTATTCCAGGGGATGTGTAAAATGCTAGGGATTGAGAGAACACGGATTACCCCTTTTCACCCACAGTCAGACGGCCAAGTGGAACGTTTTAATACTACTCTGCAGAAAATTCTGGCTACCACTGCAGAACGAAACATAGCTCCAAGGGCCTCACACCAAACATGATGCTCTTCGGCCGTGAGACGACTGAGGCTATTGATCTCGTAGCCGGTCTGCCACCTGATGAGGGAAGCCCCAACACCCCTCCAGAGTATGTATTCCAGCTGAGAGATCGGTTGGAGCTCTCCCTCCAGCTGGCACGAGAGGCTCTGGGGAAAGCGGCAGAGCGTGCCAAAAGACAGTACAATAAAAATGTCTGCCAAGTCCAGTACCAACTTGGTGCCCCAGTCTGGCATCTGATTAAAAGTACCAGGAGAGTGAAAAACAAAGTACGGAAATTCCTGCCTGCGTATGAGGGACCCTTATTTGTTGGTCAACTAGACGACTTAGTTTACCGCATCCTAAAAGGCCCAAGATCGAAGGCTAGAGTGGTCCACCATGACAAACTCAAGGCATACCATTCCAGAACCCCACTGGACAACAGCTGGGTCTACCGAAGCATCATGTCAGCGCCAGAAGGGACGGCACCTGCTGCTGTGGACGGAAGTGCCTCTAATACCCCCTTGACCTGTGGGACTCCGCGTCTGATGTGGAGGGCTCCGCCCGAGTCTACAGGGGATGCCTGCATGTCGCCTTCAGGTGCAACAGATGATGGCCCGCTACCTGGTGCCTGCTCCTTGATTCCGGTTCCATCAAGGTGCAGCCATCGTTCTGATAGCCCTAGAAGCAGGTGACGTAGCCAGCACGTAGATGTATGTTTTGTTTTTCTCTGCGTGTGTGGAATAATCCTGTTTTTCAGCTGTTAGAAGCAAGGCAGTTGGTGAGAATAAGTTTGGTTCCACAGCCATAAAAGAACTGCTGTTTGTAAGGAAGAAGAGTGCTGAATAAAGCCGGTCCGTGGATTCTACGACTCCGCCTCTGCTCCTCTGTGTGTGCGTGCAATAAACCTGATTACCAGCCGCAACGAGCCAAGCTAAGTTCAGATGCTTCTTAGCTTTATTAACCGGCAGATCCGAACCACGGAGAGGAGCCATAGAGCTGGGAAGGTAACACTCAATAGTAGTTGGCATTGGTTATCAGGCTCCCCTCCTGTGGAACCAACTACCAGTTTTAGTCCGTGAGGCAGACACCCTGTCTACTTTTAAGGCTAGGCTTAAAACTTTCCTTTTTGATAAAGCTTCTAGTTAGAGTGGCTCAGGTTATCCTGATCTATCTCTATAGTTCTGCTGCTATAGGCTTAGACTGCTGGAGGACATAGGGACCCCTTTTTCATCATTCTGCTTCATTCTATCTCTATTCTCCCACTCTGCAGAATCTGTTAGTTCAATCTCTAACGTTCTGCTCTCTCTGCTTTTTCTCATAGTAGCTTCATCTGGTCTGTTCCTGTTTGGCTGTGACTCCATCCTGGAGAGAAATATCAGCTGTGCTGCTGCCATCAACACCTTTGTTTCTAGATGTTGGAGCTTGGCCTGTTTTCCAGTGTAGTCCTGTTTCTCTGACTGTGACTAACTGGATGTGCTCTCTTCATCCTCTGACATGGGAGCTGGCTCGGAGCTCGTCTGCCTGGCTGTGTGTTTCCTGGACGGGGCCGCCTGTGGAGCTGGTTGACAGTTGCCTTTTGTATCTATGCTTCTTTTTCTATGTCTGCTTCTGTCTCCTTGAACCCCAGTGGGCCTCAGCAGATGGCCGCTCACACTGAGCCTGGTTCTGCTGGAGGTTTCTTCCTGTTCAAAGGGAGTTTTTCCTCTCCACTGTCGCTACAAGCATGCTTAGTGTGAGGGATTGCTGAAGAGTCAATGAGTCGATGCAATCAGCTGGTTTTCCTTAGATAGAAAACTTTGAATCAATCTGACTGGATGATCTGGTGAACTGGAAAGTGACCTGAGATGACATGATGTGAATTGGAGCTATAGAAATAAACTGAACTGAAGTAAAAGAAAACTAAATAAATCTACCTTCTTCTGCAGTAGAAACTGTTACCTCTAAATTAAATTTTAATCTAAAACTATTTGAGTTATGCCGACTGAAGATTTCTCACCATCTCAAAAACATCAGTTGGTAATCTCTCCTGCTGACCACTGGAAACATTAACTCAGAAGTCCTCCATCTATTAGAGTTGAGGCCTAAAATGAATCCCAGGTTGATCAGACACTTCTACCATAACTGCTCCCAGAAAAACCAGTGCAGGACATCCTGCCGACAACGCCAAATGGTCTTCAGACTGTAAAGGTTGAGATGCATGCATATACAGTGCAAAGACAATTCAGTGCTTTACATTAATTAAACTATGAGAAAAATAAAGCAGAATAAAAGCAAATAAAGATAAAAACAGGCAGTAAAGTAAATCAAACAGTCCTGCGACAACCTTAAACTAATGATACTGTTAAAGATAGGCTCTGTGTCTGCACCTTGAAGCTCTATCTCTACGGTTCTTTTTCCTGAAAAGAGATCACTCACACAAACTCTTTTAATACGACTTCATAACTTCTATGTATTAAATAACCAGGAGACGTGACGACAGATTCTGATAGAAAATATCTTATAGAGTTACAGAAGGCAGCTGCTCACCTCTCAGGAAGTGGCTCTGATTAACAGTTAAAAAGGCATTTTATACATCTACACTCTGCAACATCATTACATCATCACATCATTACATCATCACATCATTACATCATCACATCATTACATCATTACATCATTACATTACACACGTTAGCAGGTGATTAGGCATCCATGGCTCCAGATTATCAAAATATTCCACTTTGTTCTCAGCTGAAGGACGCCGCTCTCATTCCCAGATCTTTGCCACCTGTAGAATGATTATAACTGTATATCCAGACAGAGAAACTGGCCTAATTAGATAAACTATTGTGGAAAATATCAGTTCTGACAGGCAGCTAATATTAAGGTGTAATAAAAGCACACATCATCACTGATAATTATCCTAACAATACTAATAATATTTAACTTTGCAAAGTAAAAAGAGAAGCAGGCAATCATGATAGCACCGTCGCATGATGTCCTACCCTGGTCTGATCATGACAGAGTTTTTAATTCACTAATTAAAATCCTGCAGAAGGTTGTGATGGTCTCTGCATTATCCAGACAAACACATAGAGTGAAATAAACCCGGAGAAACAGTCTAAGTTGTTATAAGAACCGTTACTTTCAGCCTTGAGGAACCCTCTGGTCTCTGATTTAAAGTTCCCCACTGACTGGTAGAAGTCCCAGTCCTTCAGGGAGGATTTAAACCAGTCCAGTGCTGAACCAGAAAGACCGACCCAGTTTTCCAGACGCTCTAATAAAATCCAGTGATCAACAGAATCAAACGCTGCTCTGAGGTCCAATAATAGCAGAACTGCGGTTCCTCCACAGTCTGAGTTTATCAGAGTAGCTAAAGTAGAATAACTGTTGTTTTAATGACTCTAAAACTTCCACAAAAGTCCTTTTTTAAGATGTTCCATTTGTCCTTCCTGGCATTAGATCTTAATAAAATAAGTACTGGATGTTTTTGTTATCTTGTTAAATTGGTGAGTTCAGTCTAAGATCGCAGCTCTGGCTTCAGTACAAACAATCATTGTTTTCCTCTTTAGATCAACTTTAGATCATTAAAGGAAATGTAAAATAAAAGCTAATCTAGGTCATAAGCTGAGACCACAGTAGAGATGTGGCTCTTATGAAACCGATGCAATACATTTTGTGTGAGTGGTGTTGCCATACTGTAACAGCATTAGGAGGGCGGGGCCCCCAGCAGATCTGGTTCAAGTGGAGCTGTGAGAGGAACAGAAGCGGCTGCAGGAAGAACACAGTATCCTGGATTATGAACATGTCATTGGCAGATCTCATCGTGTTACTGGTATCAACCAGTAGGTTGGTCCAAACCTTAGATGGAGACATGTTCCTATGGTCGCTATGCAAACCGACACCCATGTCTCAGTGTAAACAGGTCCCTCCTTTATCACCCAGATGATTTTTTTTCTACAACCCCCACTGCCCAGTAGACCACCAAAGGAGAATGCATGAACAATTACTTGGTTTGACTCCAGAGGGTTAGCATGGGACTATTGGAGAAGGAGGTAGTTCCTCTCTAAACATTTAGAATAAAGGTTCTTTGAACTCTGCAGAGGAGTCAACGTTTAAAGACATCTCATTGACTGTGAAGATAATCCAGGAAGCAGCAGACAAACTTCTGGCACCTCAGGTTCTGGTAGAAGCTAACAGACCAGGTTAGTGAAGCTGGTTAGGCCTCAGTGTTTCTGGTACCAAACGTCTTCTGAAACAGTCTCCTAACAGATTATAATCCAGGTTCCAGAGGGTTAATCCAGAGATCAGACTGGATTAACAGATGGGTCCAGTGGGACGTTCCTGAAACAGAGGAGATGTTCAGTTAAAGAGGATGGACCCAAACTGGACTCTGGTTTCTGTACAGAACCAGAGAATGATGAAGACCACCTGAGGAAGAACATCACAATACTAAACACTTTAAAGTTCCTCATGTTGAAGAACTTTAACAGAATTAAGGTATTTTCCTCCTGGAATCCATCAAACGGAGACAGAAGCTGTAGAACCCGATCAGAAACCCTTCAGAACCATGTTCTGATGATGACCATTAGATGAAATTGACCAGACTGACTGATGAATGGTTCTGTTGGTCTGTTTAGACCTCATAGAGCTTCATCTTCCTTCTAACCAAGCTCCAAAGTTCTATCTGCCAACCCAGACTCAGCTCAGACCGTTGGGTCTGTGGTTCTGTGTGGTTCCTTCAGGTCCAGATGTTCTGTCAGGGTGAGGGAGACCTAAGTTCTCTTCACCAATTCTAGGTTGGTTTGATGGAACTGGTCCAGGAGCTGAACTTCTGTTAGAAAGTAGAAAATCTACAACTTAATGGGACTAGATTGGTTAAGAAGGTGCTGATCTATGGAAGCCATGCCCAAAGTCAGTCATTGAGGGTCGCTGTTTCAGCTGAAGCAAAGAAACCTCTAAATCCTGCGGGACATAGAAATACCACTATGACATAGAGGGCCCAGTTTGGGCACTGCTGATCTAGGGGCTGCATGGTGGCTAAGCATGAAGTTCCTGTGTTAGATTTCCCACAGGGGTCTTTCTCATGGAGTTTGCATGTTCTCCCCGTGCATGAATGGGTTCTCTCTGGGTACTCCGGCTTCCTACCAAAGCCCAAAGACATGACATGTTAGGTTGATTGGCATCTCTAAATTACTTCTAGGTATATGTGTGTGTGTGCATGGTTCCATGTTGGCTTGTTCATGGTGCAACCTGCCTTTCCCCCATAAACTGCTGGAGATAGACACCAGCCCCAACATAACCCTGGTGGGTGAAGGTGGAGAAGATGGACACCCACAGCTTTTATAGATGTCCAGACAAGGACTGGAAATGATCTCAGGGAATTCTTAGATACAGCAGGAACTGGTCAGATTCACCAACTGCTCTGGTCTGGGTGGCTGTTGGTGTCCTGCTGAGGTGGCCTGGTTCTTCTGAAGCAGGTCCATCCTGACAGGAACCATGTGGTGACCTTTCTGGATCAGCCACCATGATGGCAGCTTCATCGTCTGGATTCTTTTCTCCATTCAGCTTAGTCAGCAGACAGAAGACCTTCTGACATCCAACTGAGATCCCAGCCACCCTATCAGTGATACAGTGAGTCTGGTATCTCCAGAAGGTGTTCACCACTCCATGGTGGTCAGTAAAGATCTACACTGGTCACCTTTAATGGATCCCACTGAGTGCTTTAGAGCAGCTCCAGGTGAAGCTTCTGCACTGAGACCTGGTTCCCTGCTCAGCCCAGCTGGATCACACATTTATTACTAAGATGGAAGAACAGAAGGAAAATTACTCCTGAGATGAAGCGGCTGGTCTCCTGCTCCCCTTGTAGGACTGAACTCTTTCTAAGAAGCTGCTGTCCAGAGGATCTGCAGATAAACCAGAGAGAACATCTCAGACTGAAGAACTTCATCCATCCATCGTGTCATGAAACTACACCTAAAGCTAATGCTGGGATAAAGACTTGGACCTGATGAACCCGTCTTCACCTTTAACACTGAGCGTCACCATTTTCTCCTGCTGGATCTTCTGGCCACTGTAGACGGTACATTTGTAGAGGCCACTGTCGTTATAACCAGGACGCTTCAGGATCAGACTGAGGTCTCCAGAACTCAGCAGGTCTTTATCCATCTTAATGTGACGGCGATAAAGCTTGCTATATTTGGAAACTTGAAGTTTTCCATTCTCAAAGGTGAGGACCTCAGATTGTTTGGAGCCAGCATGTATCCACCTGATCTTTAGGTCTTCTTCTTCAGGAGGTTGGATTTTAAAGGGAAGTGTCACAGATGCTTCTCCCTTTGGTACCTCCACAATCTCCATTTGTAAATCTGAGGATCAGAGCAGAACATCAGGAGTCCAGAGAAACCAAAGGTTGTTCCTACTGAGGATAGAGCAGCTGCTTTCACTCACCTCTGACTATGAGGACCACCACCTTCTGCTGCAGCCTCTCTCCATTCTCATCATAGATGGTGCAGGTATAAACACCGTCAGTCAGACGGAGGTCCCTGATGGTCAGACTGAGGTCTCCAGTGGTTAATGGATCTTTATTCATCTCTGTGTGGCCTCCATAAACCTGGTCCTCTGCTGGTATGTGACAGCCTCTCTGATATTTGCAGAGCATCGTGTCTTCTACGTCTGAGATTTTCCACTCCACAGTGATGCTCCCAGAGAGGAGGGAGGGTGTTGCATGAAAGGGAAGAACGACAGACCTCTTTCCTTCGTCAACAGAAACCTTTTCCACCTTGTAGACTGAGAGCAGAGAGGAACATTGGTCAGATTACCTGAGGTCACAGACCTCAGCAATGAGTTATCATTACTAACCTCTCACAGTGAGCGTCACTACTTTCCGTCTCAGTATTTTTCCATCATTGTCGTAGACGATACAGATATAGATGCCGCTGTCTCCCAGTCTGGGATCCTTCAGAGTAAGGGTCAGGTCTCCAGTCTGCAGAGCATCAGGATTCATGGATGTCCGGTCCTGGTACTCACAGTTCTGTCTCTCTAACTGGTTCTGACCATTCTGGTACTGGTGTACTTTGTCAGGTTTATCCGTGTGGCTCCAAACCACTTTAGCATCATGAGGCAGGTTAGCTAATGTTTTAAAAGGCAGATGGACAACATCTTCTCCTTCTGTGACCTCCACCTCCTCCATCAGGCTCTCTGTTAAGAATAGAACCAGAGATGCATTTAAAACCATCAAACATCCCTAATGATACAGAATCCTTGTTATGACCCAACCCGGCTCTATTGATTCTACACCAGGCATAGAAGTAGATCTATAGAATAAGCCACAGGTATAAACCCATTAAAATCCACTCCCCCATCAGAAACACTGGGACTGCATGGAGGAGCAGATTCTAGCTCTGTTAACGAAGCACCAAGAAGGTCCTGGTTGCAGTGAGCAGGTTTTCCCTGTAAAACCATGGGTTCTGTTGAACTACTCCAGCTTCCTCCAATCATCTAAAACATGCTGTTAGGTGACTGCATGCTGCAAACTCCCTAACGTTCTGAATGTGGTCCTCGTTCTAATCCTGCAGTTGTTAGGTACCCAACATGCTCTACATTTGGCTTCCCTCTGATGAACACTGGGTCAGCGTACAGAGATTAGCATTACATGGGAATAAAACACCAAATAAACAGGTACATACAAATGGATGACTGTTTTAAGATGAAGTAGTTGTATTTCCTTCATATTTGTACATCACAATATAGGCACACTCTAGTTAGGATCCAAAGTAAACAAAATGGTAAATCATTTTCATTACTTGGAATGTTTGCGGTAGTCTGCAGTTCAATGTTTAACTCTATATTTCCTTCCCCACTTTGTTTTTTTTTTTGTTTTTTGTTTTTTTTTGTGAAACTTGAGACTTGTTCACAGTGAACAAGAAGCAGTATCAGACTCAAATTTGACTTTGCAGGGAAGTTCATACCTCTAGCTTTACGTGACATTTGGAGAGGACACTAGAAAAGTAAGAGTCCAATTTACCTTTAACTTTAGTCTTGGAAAGCATGTGTTAGGATTATTCCATGATGATTATAAAATTAATGTGAAACATTTTTGCAAGGGGATGCTCCACTCCTGTCTCATGATTTAGTCAGGAGACCATCCTGCCTCGTCATTCTCATGGAGCATTCTGTCTTCATGAACTGATTAATTGTTCTGTCAGAACAATACTCTGTTTGTAACCATGCGTCATGTTCTGTTAATAAACGCTCTGCAGAGGAGGTCCAGTGGGAGACAGTATGTTTGAGTCTGGGGTTCAACTGTCTCTCCTTCCTGCAAGAATTGTATCGATAAGTCTGTATTTCAGTTCTTCTTAAGAAAAAACCTATTTATGAACCCGACATTTTGGTGCCAAAACCCGGGAGTCAAGATCCAATTGTCCAGGACCGTGTGGGACCAAGGCCAAGAATCTGTCGACAGCCGTCCTCCCTTCACCGGACGGGGCCAGTTTGGTCCAACCCTGCCATGGGCATCTTGGTGACGGCTCCAGAGGAACTGATTCTACACCACAAATGGTAGGCCTAAACCTATTGATCAAAAGTTGGTCTAGGACCATTTAAGTTACAGCTGTAATCGCAAGAATATTTGATGAGACCAAGTCTTGTTGACGGATATGGCATCTGGATATTCTGTGCGTTAGAGTATGAGACTCTGTGTTGTTCTCGGGATAGTAAGGTTTGCAGCTGCCACAGCAGGTATAGCGAATACGGCATCTGGGTATCCGGTGCGTGCGAGGGCCTGGAGTTGGAGACTCCAAAGTGTACACGATAGGTGTTTTAAAGTGTACACAATAGGTGTTTTTTGTCTATGTTGGTTAAAATAAAAAAATATATTAGGCCTTAGAATAGGTGTGACTGTTTGAGAGTGTGTGAGGAAACAATTGAACCGTTGGGTTCTGTTGTTTCATGCTAAAACAGCAGGGGTTAATACAGTACAACTCTTGTGGATGCAGAGGCAAGAATTTCTCACCTGAAAAGGTAGAAGCAGAAATTACCACAACAGTGTTTGGGTGCCTTCCTGCTGAATAAACATCCAGTGTGTAGAATACCCTAGGTGTTTGTACTGGACTAAATTCTTTAAAATGGGAAAAGGTCAAAATAAATGTAGGGGTTATTTAGAATCTACGATTAGAAGTTTGTAGAAGTGCAGGATCCAACAAAAAAATAAACACTTGAATATATAGTTTGAAAAAAAATGGTTTGGGGGGACGCCTCTATTCCAAGATAAAATATTAAGAACTAAATGATAAAATAATAGAGCTAAAGTGAGCCAGGGAGGTAAAAGAATTAAAAAGGATGGGTTCAGAGAAGAGTATAGAGAAGATCATAAAGGGGATGTAAAGTTTGTGTCAGATTGATCCAAGTAATTTAAAATACTTGTAGGAGTGGAAGTTAGAGTATGAAATAGATGGTGTGTGGAAGTAGATCAATGGAGAAATGTTATGTGCTGACTAAAAACAAGCACTAGTGCGAGAATAAATAAATATATATAAATAAATACATAGATAAATAAATAAATAAGTATTTATAAATAAATAAATGAGCTCCAAATGGTGAGTTGTTGATATAATACATGCGCAAAGTAGATATGTTATTATTAAATATTTAAATAAATAGATCTGATGTTGTATTTGTTCGTCTTTTAATGTTATGTGTTTCTGTCTTTAAAGTTATGTTTGTGGGTCTTTTATGTTGTTTGTGTGTCCAAAAGATAATGAAACACAGTTTAGAGGGAGACAGCTTGAATCTGCACAAGGATCAATGGATCAATGACTCCAGCATTGATCCAGTTGACAGCCTTCCTAATGCGCCTGCAGGGTCTCCAAAATTATTACGTTTGGAACCAAAAAATAAAAAATTAATAACCCACCAGAAAATTAATTTAATCATGCAAGCTACATACAGGGAATAAAAAAAAATAGAGGGATTAAATAGGTGGATTGTGCAAGCTAAAACATAGAAAAAGCTATGAAGCATAGTTTGGACCATAATCGGGCTCAAGGGAGGGGCCGGTGGTCACAGGGTAAAAACAAGGGGTCACGTAGAAAGCACAATAGGTGCTACAATTGTGATAAGGAGGGCCACTTTGCTGGAGAATGTCCAGACCCCCACAGAGTGACCCTCCCTGTCACCAGTGTTGTGACCAGCGCTGACGCCAGCAGAAATTGCAGTTAATTATGGACCCAGTGGAGGTCCTGGACCTACAGCAAATTTTCCTGTCTTTTTTAAACACATCAGAAAAACCATACTGGCATTTAAACATTCAAGGAGTAAAAGTAAAATTCCTGTGTGACATCGGGGCCGATAAATCTGTTGTGAAAAATACAATACCTCAGATTAAACCGGGATCAAAATGGATCACTGTATTCTCTGCTGATGGGAGAATGGTGGTTCAGCGCATTTCTGAAAAACAATTGGTCACTGATGAAGAGGGATTCACGGTGGAAGCTGATTTTGTGTTGAGCCCAGATTGTCCAGTTAATTTATTAGGCAGAGATTTGTTAAGGAAATTGCAATTAGTGCTGGTGCCTACAGACAGATGGGTTGTGGTGAAGAGATGTACATGCTGTAGGGGGAAGTTACTCCAGAAAAGCAGCTGACACACATGTGATACATTTAGGCTCATTCCCAAAAACATTATTGATTCTAGCAATTAATGGACAGGCAGTTAGACTTATATGCGATTCAGGAGCCTGTAATACTTGTATAAATGCTAAAACCATCTAAAAGGCTAATTTTTGTAAAATCAGCAAATAATCAAACATCCTAGACAAGAAAAAGGTTGCAAGGTTGCATGTTTTTGTAGTAATATCACCAACTCACACCATTAATCTGTTGAAGTGAGACTTGATGGAAAATTAGGCATTGCAATTTTCCCCACGCTGGGGGGGAATGAAGGCGGTATAGATAATACATGTAATGGTGTGCCAACCAAATCCTTCTGTGTTTTATGCAACATGCTTATCATTTCTGCTCCATGTGTATTTTTCCAATTATAGGAACAGCCTTATAAAATTCTGTTCGATGTAAAACTCCAGGTTCAAGATTTAGCATGTGTTAAAGTGACAAATTTACTTCAACCTGTGATGATCCTGGCACTGGAGCTGACCCAGTCTCCTATTATCACTCTGGTTCACTCAGTCTCTACCCCCTCTGCAATCATCTCTACTGGTTTAACCTGTCACTACCTGCATATAAGCTCCATCCTGATGAGCCTCCAGTGCCAGATCGTTTCAAGCCAACCCGGTGAGAACCTTCCAGCCTGATTCCTGAAAACCTGTCTGTTTGCCTGCCTGCCCGCCCGCCTGCCTACCTGCCTGTTACAGATCCTGTCCTGTCCCCTGATTTATGAGCCTGCCTGACCCCTTCTTGGATTTGTCTGCCTGCCTGAGACCAGCTCTGTCAGTCTCTGGATTCTGGATTGATAACCTGTGCTTTGACCCGTTTCTGCCTGTAAGTTACTGAGCCTGCCTGCCCCCTTAATGTTCTGAGATACTTGGAGATCGAACCTGGATCTGAAACTGGACCAACCTGCTGGATATCCCCTCTGCTCATCTGCTGATATCCGAATCAATATCTGGACACACTACCTTTCCCTGGTTGACCCTCAGAGTCCGAACTCCATGCGAAGACAGCACATACCAGTCTGCACACAGAAGCTGAGCGTCCCAGAGTCAGTGTCTCTCACCTGTGTTCTCAATAAACTTTTCAAATCGTCACTGACCTGTTGTGGTGAATCTTGGGTCCACATCCAGCCCCATTATACAACATTTTCCTTTCCAATGATACCATTATCAATGGTGGTTTCTGAAATGTCCAATGTGTGCAGCCGCCCAAAACAGCTTTCTGTCTGTGGCGGAATGAGATCTCCCACCGACAGCTCAACGGACATGTCAAATATTCATAGATATTTGAAGCAGACTTTGAAAAAAAACCTGTTGGATGTACAGATTCCAACGAGCCAAACATCTTTCCATCCTGTGCTTACTAAGTGCTCTGCTTGGTTGAACTACACAGAATGGACAGTTATGTTCCTGATTTATCTGAAAGAAGCTTTCTGATTAAACTGCTGAGTTCTGAACTTTTAATATTTTTAAGAGTCTAGGACTAAATGCTTAGGCTCACTGAGCTGACGAACAAACAACTTGGTGTTACCATCGGTGTCCATCCAAACTACTACAGAGGACTGGCTAGCATTGTTAGCTCCAGCTACTTTATGTCCAGCCATATCGTAGAGGTCACATTGTGACCTCTAACCTTTCCTTTGTTTCAGCTGGACCCACCTAAGCCGGAACCTCCAGGGACCAGCTAAGCTAACCGATTCTCTATCCCCGTTATTACAGTGTACTGCATTCCTGGTTTCATTGTTTATTTTTCCCTGTAAAACTGAATGAAACTTTACTGTTTTGACTGCATTTAATATCAGGGTTATTCACATTTATGTACTGCTACTTTGAAGGACACCTTAAATGCATTATGCCTTAAAATTTAAACATTCATCCGAGACTCTTGAACTTATTGTGGCTCCTGATTCTCTGAGCCTGCCAAACCCTGTTGGACCTGTCATAGTGAGTTTTTGGATCTCTGACCTGTTTTCTATGCCCTGACCTTGCAGATCTTGAGGTCTCCGATCTCAGACCGGCTCTTGGATTGCATACTCTGGTTTGTCTCCTTGATCATTCTGCCTCTCACTGCTCTCATAAAATCTGAACCTATGCATTCCCTTGGACCAGCGATTAACTGTCAAAGAAGGATTCCTCCAGAGCTACCTGGACAGATTCAGGAATCCTCTTAGGTTCACCAGTGACGTCACATGCCAACCAGGTTCGTTTGTCCCCAAACTCTGTAATGGTTAGAGAACCAGAATTCTACGTAATTGAATATGAATAATTGCCCCTTACTTCTGTCTGGTCACTCAACTGTCCAATCTCCTTCCAGATGTTCATATTGCCGACTCTAGAGATTAAACTATAATCTAGCCAAAAAAATTGAACTCACCACCAAATCAATAGTGGTGTGAGGGTTTGGAGAATTTGGAAGTAATAGACGCTACTCACAAATATCAAGATATTGTAGAATATAAATATCTGGCTGGCTTGCCAAATATGGAAGCAGTTGTACTGCATTATGTCGTCCTGTTTCTGACCTTATGCTCACTTAGCAACACAGAGAATGCAACATGTAAACAGAGAGTCTACATACTGGGAGTCACGTACGAATCTTGGCAAAAACAGGGTTCTTACTGGCTGACTCTCACGCAATCAGGTCATGAGCTAAGAGATTTCCAGGAAGAGCGTCCAGTCGTGCACGTGCATCCACACAGTGCGATGTGGAAACTATAAATGCAGCCTGAATCGACTGAAGGTTGGGGGATAACAGAATTTCTGACGATGCGTTGCTGGATGTATAAAGTGTTTAAGACAGCTGTATGAATTCAGTTTTGTAATGAAATGTGCCCCCCCTCCGGATGATAAAATGGTGTGAATCGTGGCCTTCTTTCTGTCATAAGGGAATTCTACCAATGAGCTTCCATAATATCCCTGAGGCTTGCCCCAAAGAACGTATGTTTGTTCCTGGTCACCTTATTGGAACGGGTTCCTGATTCCTATCATACCTCTCAACTATTCTTAAATCCTGATATGACCAAAACTATCAGTCTCAGTTTTGGTGGCGCACCCTGATTCCTGACGTCAAGCAGTATGTGGCAGCATATATTCAGTGCAATCAAGCAAAACCCTCTCTGCCTCTGGACATGTTCTCAGACCTTGAACTCCGGTTTTTCCCCTTGATCATTCTGCCTGTCTCTGCTCACACAGAACTGGTCCTGTGCATTCCCTTGGACCAACGAGTAACAGTCAAAGAAAGATTCCAAGAAATCAGCGAAGACAGATTCTGGAATCCTGGAATCTGGAATCCATGAAGTTCACCAGTGACGTCACATGGCAACAATTTTTAGATATCGAAAAGGTTAGTGAGCAAGAATTCAACATTAGAGACATCTCCATCTGTTTCTGCATTGTCATTCAACAGTTCAATCTCCCTCCAGAAGTTCCGGATGCTGACTCTGGAAACGTCTTCAAACTTGGAAATAAAAGTCGAGTGGAGTTTCATTATATGAAAATGTCTCTATTTTACCTTTAAATATATAATTATGTATTATATAGATTAGACATATAGGATTTTAAGGGTGTGAATGTGTATTGGTAAGTACATAAAGCCAGAGCAAGGTCACCTGGACCAGCTTATAAATGTGGAGTCAGACTGACCTTTGACCTTCAGGGTCACTGTTTTCTTCAGCAGCAGGTCTCCTCCTCTGTAGACGATACATTCATAGTCCCCATCATCCTCCAGCTGGGGTCTCTTCAGAGTCAGACTCAGGTCTCCTGTAGTCAGAGGTTCTGCTCTCATCTTTGTTCTTCCTTCATAGATCTTCTCCTGTTCCTGAGGCTGGGTCTGGCCGTTCTCAAACACATGGACTCTGATGTTCTGGTCAGAACGGGTCCACTCCACTCTGACATCCTGGGGAAAGGCTCTGTTGGCTTTTAGGGACAGCAGGACAGACTTCACCCCCTCTCTGATCTCCACTTTCTCAGACTGAAGCACTGGGAAGAAAGCAGAACATCACAGTTCTCACAAAGGCCAGAGAACCTCAGAAGAAAACAGAACCGTTCCAGATAGTTAAGAGCAAATAGAAGCTAGAGGAAAGTAGAACGTCACAGTTCCACAAAATGTAGAGTCAGAATATCAGAAAAAAGGAGAACACTGTGAAATAAATCACAAGTCAGAGTTTCTCCCAAGGTTCTGATGGAATAATCTGGCCTTTCAGCTGAATTATTTAGAAAATGGTTCAAAGCTAAAAGGCTGGACTGGGTCAGGATACAAGGGTGTAAATAATTTTAGATCTGCAGCCTTCATCAAATCTGGGCTGGTTCATCCTCCATCCAGTGACCAACATACCTGCTGTGTGCTTCTTTTTCCATCTGTAGTACCAAACAGCAGTTCCAACGACCAGCAGAACTACAGGGATCAGAACCCCAAACAGAACCCAGGGCCAGACAGGAGGGGGAAGATCTGGAGAAGATACAAACAGAGAGAAGCTAATGTTTCCAATGATGTCTAAATACCATTAGATCATCCAGAGAAGCTTCCTCTCTGACCTTTGACCTGCAGCTCCACAGTTTCTTGGTGCAGATCTACTCCCATCCTGCGGACGGTGCAGGTGAAGGTCCCGCTGTCGGTGAAGGTCGGTTTCCTCAGAGTCAGACTGAGGTCTCCGGTCTGCAGAGCGTCCTCCATCATTGAGGTCCGACCTTCATAACGCTGGTTCTGGTCCTTCAGATAATCCCCAGCCGGCTCACGAACATGGACCGTGGGGATCCGGAAGTCGTCTCTGTCCCAAACTGTTGTAGAACCACTGGACACAGAAGGTTTGACCTCACAGGGCAGCAGGACAGACTCCTCCCCCTCAAACACCTGGAGCCCCAAGGCATGCTGGGAAACTGAGGACAGAGACAAGAAGCTGTCTGTAGAGAAGTTCTGACAGAACCAAGGTTCTCTGGTTCTCTGCCCTTCTCCTTTAAATGCAGTTTTTAGTTTGACAGTTTGACTTGACAGTTAAACATACAAAGACCATTTGACTGGTTCCTCTCTAACAATTTAGACCTGTTCCCTGGGGTTTGGACTAGGACCAACCACAAGTTTTGATGGTTCTTGGTTCTGATCAGAGTTCAGTGTCTGCTTTTATACGTCTCTGTTGAGTGCTTGTTTATGTCCATATGTGTCTAAGGGTAGGATTGTGTAAATGTGACTGGATGAATGTTTGAATTATGTTTTTTTCTGTCTACTTGGGTCTAACCCGGGCCTGGGTCTGCTGGCATTGTGGGGTCCCCAACTTGCGAGGGGGGTGCATCTCGGGACCTCGGACCCCAGGGTCTGATTAGGGTCCACCTTTGACTTGAATGATGTTCAGTTATTCCTCTGCCTCCTTTAGTGATAATGGGATGTGTAATAAGTGTAGTATTTTTGTAGCTTTGGAGGCGAGGGTGTCAGAGTTAGAATCCAGGCTTCAGGCTGTTGAACATCCAGGAGTTAAAGTAGGCCCCCCATGTAGCTGTCCTCCAAAAGTGCCTGAGCAGCCAGGCGATTGGGTAACTGTACGCAGAAAGCGTAGTCGTGGATCTCTGCCCACTGGTCACCACCAACCCGTTCACGTTTCTAACCGGTTTTCCCCACTCAGTGACACACCCACTGAGAAGCCCACTCTGGTGTTTGGCAGCTCCATAGTCAGAAACGTGGCATTAGAGACACCAGGGACCATAGTCAAATGTTTGCCGGGGGCCAGAACGGGCGACATCAAATCCTACCTGAAACTACTGGCTAAGGATAAGGTTAAATACAGTAAGATTGTTATTCACGCTGGTGGTAATGACACCCGGTTACGCCGATCGGAGGTCACTAAAATTAGTGATGCTTCAAAACAATGAAGGACTCTGTAATTTTCTCTAGTCCCCTCCCTGATCTGACCAGTGATGACATGTTTAGCCGCATGTCATCATTCAACCGCTGGTTGTCTAGGTGGTGTCCTGAAAACAACGTGGGCTACATTAATAATTGGCAATCCTTTTGGGGAAAGCCTGGTCTGATTCGGAGAGACGGCATCCATCCCACTCTGGATGGTGCAGCTCTTCTTTCTAGGAATCTGGCCACATTTATTAGTCCTCCAAAACCCTGACCACCCAGGGTGCAGACCAGGAAGCAGAGTTGTAGTTTAACAGACCTCTCTGCAGCTTCTCTACTGTTACCCACTCTTTACTCCATCCAGACAGTGTCTTGCCCACGACCAACATCTAATAAATTAGCAAAGATTCCCAAAGGAGTAAATCATGATAATCTAATTAAAATCAAAATAACTCCAATTGGGGAAGAAGTTAAAACAATTAAATGCGGTCTGTTTAACATAAGATGGCTTTCCTCTAAAAGTCTACTAGTTAATGACTTGATTTGTGATGATCACATTGACTTGTGTTGCCTTACAGAAACCTGGCTGCAGCAAGAGGATTATGTGAGCATAAATTAGGCAACTCCTTCAAGCTATTTAAATTTTCACATCCCCAGAAGTTCTGGGCGAGGAGGAGGAGTAGCAACAATCTTTCTGCTGTAGGACATAGGGACCCCTTTTTCATCATTCTGCTTCATTCTATCTCTATTCTCCCACTCTGCAGAATCTGTTAGTTCAATCTCTAACGTTCTGCTCTCTCTGCTTTTTCTCATAGTAGCTTCATCTGGTCTGTTCCTGTTTGGCTGTGACTCCATCCTGGAGAGAAATATCAGCTGTGCTGCTGCCATCAACACCTTTGTTTCTAGATGTTGGAGCTTGGCCTGTTTTCCAGTGTAGTCCTGTTTCTCTGACTGTGACTAACTGGATGTGCTCTCTTCATCCTCTTACATGGGAGCTGGCTCGGAGCTCGTCTGCCTGGCTGTGTGTTTCCTGGACGGGGCCGCCTGTGGAGCTGGTTGACAGTTGCCTTTTGTATCTATGCTTCTTTTTCTATGTCTGCTTCTGTCTCCTTGAACCCCAGTGGGCCTCAGCAGATGGCCGCTCACACTGAGCCTGGTTCTGCTGGAGGTTTCTTCCTGTTCAAAGGGAGTTTTTCCTCTCCACTGTCGCTACCAGCATGCTTAGTGTGAGGGATTGCTGAAGAGTCAATGAGTCGATGCAATCAGCTGGTTTACCTTAGATAGAAAACTTTGAATCAATCTGATCTGGTGAACTCTAAAGTGACCTGAGATGAGGTGTGTATAGAAATGTGGCTATAGAAATAAACTGAATAGGGGAGTGGCGGCCTATTGGGGGGAGTGGCGGCCTAGTGGTTAGGGCATTGGGCTTTGAATCCTGAGGTTGTGAGTTCGATCCCCCCACTCCCACAGACTGCTCCCCGGGCGCCTCACGATGGCAGCCCACTGCTCCCCAAGGGGATGGGTTAAATGCAGAGAAGTAATTTCCCTCTGGGATTATTAGAGTATATAAAAAAAAAAAAAAAGAACTGAATTTATAGCCATAGCCTAATTTACTAAATTGGTGAAAATAACTGGATTTTAAGCAGCCGGTCCAGAAACCCACCTGGGATATGAGAGGCCAAGAATCCTGGTGAGTACGCAGATTATAGTTATAATTATTCAACAAGAAACTCTTCCGGTCTCCTTATTTTCACTGACTTCGAAGTAGGGCTGGACGATATAGAAAGAAAGCTTATCGATAAAAAAAAATGCATATTGATCGATATAGATAATTATTGAAAAGATTTGAAACCATATTTTATGTGCAGCTCTGCCTGGACATTTTATGATATTGCTAAATGATTTAATTTTAATAAAGAACACAAACACAGACTTCCAACTAAATCTTTATTTAACCAACTTTTTGAACCATAACAGAATTGTTTTAAAGAAAAATAACTTAGAGACCTGAGTTATGTTATTAAATACTGACATAGAATAAACTAAAGTGACCAGAAAATTGACCAAAATAAATATAACAAATAAATAAATAGAAAACCCTATTTGGGTGGGAATAGTACACCACCAGCTTGTGGTAATTAAAAGATTGTAGGACTAGGCTACCATGTAAACGAGAACAAACTCAACAAGAACAAAAACCCAAACCAACTCACCCTTTAGCATAGCATTTCTATGGGGTATTTTTTCTAACCCCCATTCTTCTAGAGGTGCTGCTGGCACCTCGTTATGGTTCAGCTTAGTTTCCTGCTTTAACCTGAGTTATTACTTTGAAGTTGCTGGCCCCTCAGCATTTTTCTCTCAGTTATTAGAACTACGTGGGAAACTGCCCAGAACTGAATATATATATATATATATATATATACTAACTGTTTTCTCCCCCCTGGTGGGGTGGTATGTGTCATCCTCAAGCTGGGGTCCTCTACCAGAGGCCTGGGAGTTTGAGGGTTCTGCGCAGTATCTTAGCTGTTCCTAGGACTGCGCTCTTCTGGACAGAGACCTCTGATGTTTTACCTGGAATCTGCTGTAGCCACTCTCCCAGTTTGGGGGTCACAGCCCCCAGTGCTCCAATTACCACTGGCACCACTGCTGCTCTTACTTTCCACATCTTTTCTAGCTCCTCCTTCAGTCCTTGGTATTTCTCAAGCTTCTCGTGTTCTTTCTTCTTGATGTTGCTGTCGCTTGGGATTGCCACATCTATCACTACTGCCTTCTTCTGCTGTTTGTCCATCAACACGATGTCTGGTTGGTTAGCCATCACCTGTTTGTCGGTCTGGATCTTGAAGTCCCATAGGATCTTAGCTCGGTCATTCTCAACTACCTTAGGAGGTGTCTTCCATTTTGACCTTGGGACTTCCAGCCCATACTCATGGCAGATGTTCCTGTACACTATGACAGCTACCTGGTTGTGGCGTTCCATGGATGCACTTCCTGCCTGCATTTTACACCCCGCTGTTATGTGCTGTATTGTTTCAGAGGCATCTTTGCACAGTCTGCATCGGGGGTCCTGCCTGGTGTGTTAGACCCTGGCCTCTATTGATCTTGTACTGAGTGCCTGTTCTTGTGCTGCCATGATTAGTGCCTCTGTGCTGTCCTTCAGTCCAGCCTTTTCCAGCCACTGGTAGGATTTTTTGATATCAGCCACTTCTTCTATTTGTCTGTGGTATATGCCGTGCAGCGGCTTGTCCCTCCATGATGGTTCTTCTTCCTCTTTCTTGTCCTCACTTTCAGTTTTCTCCTGCCTGAGGTACTCACCAAGCCATTTGTCTTTGGGGGCCATCTTTCTGATGTACTCCTGGATCTTAGTTGTTTCATCCTGGACAGTGGTCTTGACACTCACTAGCCCTCGGCCTCCCTCGCTACGCTTGGTGTACAGTCTCAGGGTGCTGGATTGGGGTGGAACCCTCCATGCATTGTGAGGAGCTTTCTTGTCTTGATGTCAGTAGCCTCTATCTCCTCCTTTGGCCAGTTTATTGTACCAGCCGGGTATCTGATGACTGGTAGGGCATATGTGTTGATGGCTTGGATCTTGTTTTTCCCATTCAGCTGACTTTTCAGGACCTGCCTTACTCTTTATAGGTATTTAGCTGTGGCAGTCTTTCTTGCTATCTTTGAGACCATGCGACCGCACTTGTCCAGCCCGAATGACATCCCAATGTTGTTGCTGTAGATCCTGGTAGTGTGGATCAGTGAGTCGATGTCTCGCTCGCGCCTGGCATACAGCTTGATGTCATCCATGTAGAGGAGGTGACTGATATATATATATATATATATATATATATATATATATATATATATATATATATATATATATATATATATATATATATATATATATATACAGTGGGGCAAAAAAGTATTTAGTCAGCCACCAATAGTGCAAGTTCTCCCACTCAAAAAGATGAGAGAGGCCGGTAATTTTCATCATAGATATACCTCAACTATGAGAGACAAAATGAGAAAAAAAAATCCAGAAAATCACATTGTCTGATTTTTAAAGAATTTATTTGCAAAATATGGTGGAAAATAAGTATTTGGTCAGTTACAAACAAGCAAGATTTCTGGCTCTCACAGACCTGTAACTTCTTCTGTAAGAGGCTCCTCTGTCCTCCACTCGTTACCTTCATTAATAACACCTGTTTGAACCCGTTATCAGTATAAAAGACACCTGTCCACAACCTCAAACAGTCACACTCTAAACTCCACCATGGCCAAAACTAGAGAGCTGTCAAAGGACACCCGAAACAAAATGATAGACCTGCACCAGGCTGGGAAGTCTGAATCTGCAATAGGTAAACAGCTTGGTGTGAAGAAATCAACTGTGGGATCAATTATTAGAAAATGGAAAACATACAAGACCACTGATAATCTTCCTCCATCTGGGGCTCCACGCAAGATCTCACCCCGTGGGGTCAAAATGATCACAAGAACGGTGAGTAACAATCCCAGAACCACACGGGGGGACCTAGTGAATGACCTGCAGAGAGCTGGGACCAAAGTAACAAAGGCTACCATCAGTAACACACTACGCCGCCAGGGACTCAAATCCTGCAGTGCCAGACGTGTCCCCCTGCTTAAGCCAGGACATGTCAAGGCCCGTCTCAAGTTTGCTAGAGAGCATTTGGATGATCCAGACCATGACTGGGAGAATATCATATGGTCAGATGAAACCAAAATAGAACTTTTTGGTAAAAACTCTACTCGTCGTGTTTGGAGGAGAGAGAATGCTGAGTTGCATCCAAAGAACACCATACCTACAGTGAAGCATGGGGGTGGAAACATCATGCTTTGGGGCTGTTTTTCTGCTGAGGGACCAGGACAACTGATCCGTGTGAAGGAAAGAATGAATGGGGCCATGTATCGTCACATTTTGAGTGAAAACCTCCTTCCATCAGCAAGGGCATCGAAGATGAAACGTGGCTGGGTCTTTCAGCATGACAATGATCCCAAACACACCGCCCGGGTAACGAAGGAGTGGCTTCGTAAGAAGCATTTCAAGGTCCTGGAGTGGCCTAGCCAGTCTCCAGATCTCAACCCCATAGAAAATCTTTGGAGGGAGTTGAAAGTCCGTGTTGCCCAGCGACAGCCCCAGAACATCACTGCTCTAGAGGAGACCTGCATGGAGGAATGGGCCAAAATACCAGCAACAGTGTGTGAAAACCTTGTGAAGACTTACAGAAAACGTTTGATCTCTGTCATTGCCAACAAAGGGTATATAACAAAGTATTGAGATGAACTTTTGTTATTGACCAGATACTTATTTTCCACCATATTTTGCAAATAAATTCTTTAAAAATCAGACAATGTGATTTTCTGGATTTTTTTTTCTCATTTTGTCTCTCATAGTTGAGGAATATCTATGATGAAAATTACCGGCCTCTCTCATCTTTTTAAGTGGGAGAACTTGCACTATTGGTGGCTGACTAAATACTTTTTTGCCCCACTGTACGTATATATATATATACGTATATATATATATATATATATATATATATATACCGTATTTTCACGACTATAAGGCGCACTTAAACGTCTTTTTTTTCCCTCAAAATGTGCGGTGCGCCCTATGGTGCGGTGCGCCCTATGTGTGTTGTAACTGCGACTTTTGAGACCACCTCATTGAGGAGATGATGAAAGAGTGGCTGAATGTAAGGAGACCAGGTGTTTTTTTTCCACTCATCACCATTAATCTGTAACTCCATGCGTGCCCATCTCACAGCTGATGTGAAAAACATGGGGAAACAAATTAACGCTGTGCTCGCTGTTCAACCGCTCGACATTGGTGTGAACCGGACCCAGCAGGTGCAGCAGAAGCAGCGAGTTTACATGCAAAGTCAATGGTTGACGCGCATATAGGCGCAGCAAAAGGTCCCGCAGCGCGTTTTGGTGCAGCACGTCGGGAGCGTTTAAGCATCGCACCGCCAACGCGCTGCTGCTGCTCAGATGGAAAAATTGAAGTTTTGCTGCTGGACGCGCCGCATCAACCAATCAGAGAAGCTGATCTGGGAGCTGGCAGCGAGACAGACAGCGCTCTGATGACATATGATATTAACGCAAATGAAAAGGCTGGGTGAACGCTGTGCTCGCCGTTATCCCGGGGGTCTGACAAAGGAACTTCAACCGCTCGACATCGGTTTGAAGCGGCCGTTCACAGTAAGGCTGCGAGCGGCGTGGGAGCGATGGATGACAGACTGAGACCAAAGTTTCAGGATAAGTGGAAGGCAGCGCCGGGCAAGTTACGCCACCGTTTGAGGATGGATTGTAGATGCTTGGACTACTACGTGTCTGCTGGCTCTGTTGTTCAAGCTTTCGCAAAAGCCGGCATTATTTCTGAGGAGCTGCGCTGCACGGAAAGTGACTGACAGCGAAGAAGGGGAAACTGGCATGTCTGATTTAGCGCAGCTGTTTTATTCAGAGGAATGCTGAGGATAACAGAGGATGATGACTTTGATGGGTTTGATTAATACTTTGTAATAAATACATGAATAAAGCACAATCATACTCAGGTTTGCTCCCGCTCTATTTTTCTCCCTGAAAGCTTAATTCAATGGCAGCCTCTGAGCGCGTCTCCTCCTCTTCACCGCGGTGGCTGGCAGGTGTTTTTTCATCTAAATAATCTAAATCTTGCAGCTATATTTGCTGTGATCAGTGGGAATAAATAAGTATAAATATGTTTTTAAGTGAGAAAGGCCACCTGAAAACTTAATAATTGCAGTCAGTTCATCCAGATTATCTATTTCTGTCGGAGGCGCTCAGACCCCCACATACCAGCGGTGCGCTGACAGCAGAAATCTCTTCATCAGCAGCCTGTAGGCTGGGCAGCCTGGGGTTCACCGTGGCAGCTGGCAGGTGTTTTTCATCTAAATAATTTTAGCTGCAGGCACCAGGATACCGGCAATAAAAGCGAACATATTCCGTCAGCAGGTTTCAGGATTTTAAGTTAATTTAGGAGTGATCACAGCGCTGTGTCATCTGCGATGTGTCTGTCTCACGGCCAGCTGCCAGGTTTGATTAATACTTTGTAATAAATACATGAATAAAGCACAGTCATACTCAGTTTTGCCCCCGCTGTATTTTTAAATACGCAGTAGAGCTATTTAAAGGTAGTAGAGGACTTGTACCTGTATATAAAAAACGCGCCCTATAGTCCGGTGCGCCTTATGTGTGTGTTAAATACAGAAATGGGGCACATAACTGAGAGTGCGCCTTTTAGTACGGTGCGCCTTATGGTCGTGAAAATACGGTATATATATATATATATATATATATACATATATATGTATATATACATATATATGTATATATATATATATATATATATATATATATATATATATATATATATATATATATATATGCGTGCAATGATTGAATAAATGGCACAGTGTACGCCATGCTTAAACCTAATCATTGGTCTAAACCAGGGTTCTGCAACCTGCAGCTCTTTAGCGCCCCCTGCGGCTCACTGGAGCTTTTTCAAAGCAAACAAACTGGAAAAAGATGGATTTCTGTTTGTTTCTTTCTTTCTTTTAATATCATGTCGAGAACAAACTTTTTGTTTTTGATAACTGTAAGCATCTGTTTGCTAAATAAATTTCAACAATAAATGTAAACATTTCTGTGTCAGCCTGGGATCCGTTTCAGGCAGCTGTTGGTTCACTGTCATTAGATGATTCTGTTTCCATGGCCTGCTTACCTGAGCTGCTGCTGCAGGATGGGATTCATTCTCACTGTGCTTTGAAGACGACTGCTTTTTATTTCCACGTGGAGCTTTGAAGTTTCAGCAGTCCTATTACTCACATTACATGTTTTTAAATCCTCAAAATAAAAATAACACCAAAAATGGGATTTCTTTATAGTGTTTCTATAATTCCATCGATTCCAGAAATCATGATAGATTAAAACTGTAATAGGAGTTAAAGATTAGTCACATGGTGTCATTTTCTCCAGTTTGAGCTGCAGGGAAAATAAACATTTAATCATGAATGTTAATTTTATATCTGAACCTATTCGGTCATTTTATTCTGACACCCAGCAGAAAGTTTAACCCACTGATGATGACGCCTCTGCTGTTAATAAATATGTTTAATAGCCTTTCTGGTTACATTTCTCTTCAATTAAGAACCTCAAATATATTACTATAATAAAAACTTACTGGGATAATCAGGGACATTATGATCATATCCGCATTAATTCAGCGTTTATGACGTCATATTCTCCTGCTTTCAGTTTCTACCAGATGTTTGAGAAAAGACGCAGTGCTTTTATTTTGAAAGGTCTGTGTAGATTAAATCTGGATTGGCAGATTAAAGACTCCTGAATTTCTAACGAACCGCGCTGCTGTGACTGTAGCCCGGCTTCACTTACCGACCAGAACCAGAACCAGAACCAGACCCATCTCAGAGCTTCCTTTAGATCCACATTAGGAGGCAGAATCCAGCAGACCAGGACCAGAACCCGGACCTTTCCAAACTTTCGGTTTCTGACGGGACGTCACCTGCCTGCCCCCCGGAGGCGGAGCCTGGAGAAGCAGGATGGGTCTGCCATAAACTGACCGATCTGTAGATCCCAGCTGTATGGCAGGCTGTTATGAAATTTAATGTAGCGCTGTCCTCTCTATTGTTCCATTTGTTGATCTCTAAAATAAGATTCTTCCTGGTCTAAAATACATTCCTACTACTCAGAACTGTACATATAGATATCCTAAAATACATTTTTGTCATCAAAAATAAAATTTTAGGATGCCTAAAATAGAATTGTACTAGTAAGAATAAAATGTCAAATACCTAGAAATCTTTCCAAAGTGGCCTTTAGACCTTTATTTGCTTGACTGAATATGTAATCCAGATGTCTCCGATCATTTATTCCTGGTCAAAAGAAACATTTCAAATATCTGAAATGTAATTCCTACTACTAATGACGTCATTTTCCCATTCATGTGTGTTGGGCTTTTATTTCCACATATCGACTATACCATACTTCCTATTTAAAATGAATTCTGACAAGGATCAACTCTAATTTCATATCTCTATAATAGTTATATTAATAGTAATAGTAGTTACTGCTAGTCATGATTACTATAACAGATATAAAAAATGAATATAACATTCTAAATATCTAGAAATTAAATTCTTGACATCAAACATATGTTTGTACTGGTAGAAATATAATTACAGATATCAACTATTGATATATAAATAGTTACATTGGAAGTTCAGATATCTACATTTTAATAATGCCTATCCAAAATGTAGTGTTAGAACCTTAAAAACATATTTTGACTAATATAAAAAAAAATTTAGGCTCCTTTTTAAAATAAAATAAGCAGGCTGACTCAGAATTAAACTTTAGATATCGCTAATTACATTTCTATCTGTAGAAATTAGATTTTAAGTTCTCTGGAATCAAATTTTGACTAGTAAGATCTACATTTCAGATATTTACAAATCTTTACTTATTTTAAGTGGCTGTTTTAACATATATTTGCTTGTATTTCAGATATCTTTAATAGTATTCCTCCTATCTAAAATAAACATTCTGGATGTCTAAAAATAAATTTCAGATCTCCATAAACTGATTGCTACTGGTCAGAATTTTTATTTCACATATCAAGAATCAGTCACTAAAAACAGCAGATCTGACGTAGTTTAAGGTTTTCGGACCTAAATTCAAAACATTTATGAGTCTAGCTTCTCTGTGTGGATCTGAAAGCAGTAATGGCAGCAGTAATAATCTAACTGATGAATGGAAAATGAAAGGATCTCGTCCTCAGGTGGGGACTAGTGGAGACAGAGAGTGTCTGCAGGAGAAACTTCACCAGAAAGTTCTGCTCATGTTTTACTCCAGAGGGAAAATATTCCCAGGTTGTTATGAAGCAGGAATAATGACTTCCTGGGTGCGGTGTGCACTGATACGTTGCATCAATAATCAGTGACGTTAAAGCAGTCATTTCTAATATAGATATGAAGAACGGGAACTATAGATATCCACAACTAAATGGTTCCTGGTACAAATGTAGCTGCCAACATCTGTAAAGACATTTCTACTAGTATAAATACAGTTTAGATGTCAGAAATTATATTTTAGATAACTGCAATGTTTTCTTCATTCTTGATATCTGAAGTAAAAATTATGATTAGTAACAATCGGATTATGGAGATCTGAAATTTATTTTCAGACATCCAGAATGTTTATTTCAGATAGGAGTAATTTCACTGCAGATATCTGAAAGTATTCATGCCCAATAGGCACAAATGGGGAAAAGTGACGTCATTTCAGATATCTGAAAAGTTCACTTCAGATAGAAGGAATATATTTAAAGATATCAGAAATACAAACAAATATATGTTAAAACGGCCACTTGAAATAAGTAAAGATTTATAAATATCTCTAATTTTGATTTTTTGACAAAGAAGAAATCCATTAGAGACATCTGAAATACACATTCAGTCAAGCTAATAAATGTCAAAACGTCCTGCCATATTCAGAGGCGGTTCTAGAAATGTTTCTCTGCAGCTGAAGGGGGCAGGAAGCATCCTGTGTTCCTGCATGTTTTCAGCAAAAACCAGCTGAACTAAAACCTGCAACAGTCGACAATAAGGAGGACAATGAATATGTTGTCTCTATAGAAATATGTGTATAGACTATAGTTCAGTTTATAAACTGTGTTTTATGTCTTTAGATCTGGGAAAAACAAAACATTGTTAATTCACCTGCAACATCTGGTTAAGTAGATATAAGTTTTTTAGTCAGCAAATTAATCATTAAAGTGGGATTATTTGTTATTATGTATTTAATTTCAGCTCCAAATGATTTCTACTTATAGTTTTTATTGTGTTTTATATAAAATAATGGGAGAAAAAACACATTTAGCCAAAGAGAAATCTTAATAGCTCCAAATTAAAGTCGCAGAAATTCAAGGAAATCTTTAGTTTCAATAAAAGCAAAAATATGAGCAATTTAGGACAAGTTATTATTTGATACATTAAAAGAGTTCAGGATAGCCCAACCTATCGTGAACTCGTTAGTGGTGAATAATTGTGCCATCTGCCCAGGCATTACGGATAGCATAGTAAAGCCCAGATGACCTGATTAAATGACTAACTTTCTACTTTCAGACCTTTGGTCGCTCTGAGGAAGCTCTGCTGTCTCTGTGACTGCAGAGCTTAGGTCAGTGAAGGACTACCTGAGACCTTCCTGGCAGAAGAACAATGGAGTCTGCTGGCAGCCATCAGCAACAACAACAACATGTCATCAAGTCAGCGGTCAGATCTCTATCAGTGATGTCATCGCCGCTTTAGAAAAACCAAAGCTGGAGGAGCAGGTTTGAAGGAGTGAGTGGAGGAATGAAGAAGAACAGAGACAGGAAGTCAGATATGGATAAAGATTATTTATTTCATAAAGAGAGTTTTGCACATAGTTAATGTGGTTTAAGATCTATTTCTCTAACCTTTCCTTTATTTTAAGTTCTCCATATTTCTATTGATCAGAGCTGTTGTTGCAGCAGAGGTCAGTTATGCTGTAAGCAGAGCTTCAGTAGGTTCATTCTGGACTGAGTGACTGAGCAGGTCCCTTACTGAGCAGAACCAGCTGCTGCTGCTGCAGAAACATCTCAGACCTTCTACTGGAACGGTTCCTTTAAATAAACATCTGGAACCAGAAAGCAGCTGGAAGGTCAGACATCTGCAGATCTACATCCAGGAGGACTGAAGTTGGTGTTTTAATTTTATTTCCAGATGTTCCACATGTTGACTTTCTTCAGGTTAACCAGTCTGTTAACCGGTTATTATCTGACTGAGGCAGGAGGTAAACGTGTCAATCACTCTCAGTGTGTTTATAGCACCATCTATCCTGCACTCTGACAAAAGCCCAGTTTGGAGTTTGAACCATTTCAACCAGTATAAGTCAGGAACAACTGAGCATCTCTGCCACTAAATGTGCTGCTTTTCCTACATGGGATGTTTCCTCATAAATAGAAAAAGTTTTAGTGAGTGATTAATAAACACATTCTGCACTGGTTACCAAGTATGTTCTTATAATTCATGTTAAATATTGGAAGGTTAGAAAACAGTAATATTTGAAATAGTTCTGAAATTATATATAAAATCAATAAATAACAGCTGTAACAGCAATGATATTCAGTTCTATTCAGTTTATTTCTATAGCTCCAATTCACATCATGTCATCTCAGGTCACTTTATAGATCCATACCAACCAGATCATCCAGTCAGATTGATTCAAAGTTTTCTATCTAAGGAAAACCAGCTGATTGCATCGACTCATTGACTCTTCAGCAATCCCTCACACTAAGCATGCTTGTAGCGACAGTGGAGAGGAAAAACTCCCTTTGAACAGGAAGAAACCTCCAGCAGAACCAGGCTCAGTGTGAGCGGCCATCTGCTGAGGCCCACTGGGGTTCAAGGAGACAGAAGCAGACATAGAAAAAGAAGCATAGATACAAAAGGCAACTGTCAACCAGCTCCACAGGCGGCCCCGTCCAGGAAACACACAGCCAGGCAGACGAGCTCCGAGCCAGCTCCCATGTCAGAGGATGAAGAGAGCACATCCAGTTAGTCACAGTCAGAGAAACAGGACTACACTGGAAAACAGGCCAAGCTCCAACATCTAGAAACAAAGGTGTTGATGGCAGCAGCACAGCTGATATTTCTCTCCAGAAATATCTTTTGTTGTTGCACCAGAGGTTGACACATTAACTCCAGCCTCAGTCAGATAATATTTATATTTACAATATAAATGTAACAGTAATAAATATAAATGTAACAGTAATGAATTTAGATGTAACTGTGTTGCTGGTTAAGTCAAATGAGGGTTTAAGTCTGGATCTACATATTATATTCTATGGTGATTCATTACATCTGAGGTTATTGATGAAGAGTCAACCATAATATCCAAGCCGATATCGTCTTTCCAAGCTCATCTAGGAGGAGAATATATTTTCATTATGAGTCGATGCAATCAGCTGGTTTTCCTTAGATAGAAAACTTTGAATCAATCTGACTGGATGATCTGGTTGAATTGTCTCTATAAAGTGACCTGAGATGACATGATGTTAATTGGAGCTATAGAAATATACTAAATAGAATTGATTCAGTATAGAAACTGCAGATCTCAAATGTTCTAAATGCATAGTTTCAGCTAATGTGTGCCTGTTTCTGATTTTCTGACCTGCTGCTCGTTAGTCAGTGTGACTAATATCACCTTCTGTCACTTCATGGAGGTCACATGAATTTCTGCAGCTCCTCAGAGACCCTCTGTTTCACACATGGAGACTCTGCTCTAAGTTATTAAGGAAAACTGCCCATAACAGGTGCAGCTGCCTTCCCTCCACAGGCCACACCCACACCTACCTCATTACCTGCCTCCACCTAACCCTAACCCTAACCCTAAACCTTTTCCACTGGGATTTTCTTCCACATCTGTCTCCAATGTGTAAACATAGGAGAATCCTTAGCTGTAGATTTTAGACTGTAGATTA